CTGCTGCAGTCTTTATTTGACATTCTACATGCTCTGTTTCTATTGCAGAACGTTGTTTTGTCTGTGCAGCAGCTCATGCGGTGAAATGAGTTTAACTTCGTTTTCACATTTGTAAAGTCACTTTGTGGTCCAGTTTGAAAAACAAAAGCAGAATTTTAATGTGTTGCCGTTCAGTAAACTTGTTATGATCTGCTGAGGTTCATGTTATCAGGAAACCTGTGAAAACCAGAGAAGAAATCCATCCATGTCCCCGGAGCCGCCCGTCACATCCGTCAGCGTCGACAGCGCTTTAAATGTAACAACTGTAGGAATGTCTGCGGTAACTTCACCGTGTTCCTCATGAAGCCCCCGTCCGCTTTGTCTTTCTGTCAGTCAGGTTTCCTCCTCCATCTGGTCCTCATTTCCCTCTCTGGCTCGATCCGGCTCACGCAGATCTGATGTTTGATGAATCTGCAGCTCCGTCTGCAGCGACTGATATAAACACAGAGCCGCTCTACGGTCACATCCATTCATCTGATCCCTTATGAAAAGAGAAGCCAGTGTTTCTCTGGGTCGCCTGACCGCATCTCTCCATTTATCAGTGTCACTGCTGGATTAAACATAAAACACGAAACTGAGATTTTTCTTAGTAAAACATTGTTCAAAACCCAGAGACTTAACCGAGTTTGACAAGCTGGATGAAAGTGAAGAGAAATTTAAGATTCATCCTCCATCAGCATTAAACAAACCATCAGACCTGCAGCTGAAGTGTTTCACTGCAGCCATCATCGGTTTAATTTACACGGCAGCCATTTTAGATCTAGTGTTGGCGTTTGTAAGGAATGTCCAGATCACACGTCATTAGAATAACCAACTTAAATGCAGATGATAAAGAACATAACATAATGAGAAGATAAAATTACAAGAAAATTGTTTGCAAAAGTAAAAAGAAAAACATGTTTGCAAACCAGCTCAGCTTTAAACTTTAGATTAATTTGTGGATGAAACTTGTGAAGTTGTTCAGACTTAAACACAAACTTCAAACACTTCACAGTGTTTATGTGTCTGGAGGCGGGACAGTTTGTCTCAACGTCAGAAACACGTCCAACTTTAACAAGAGGATCGAAACTTCCTAGTTTTATCTGTTTGGCTGAGAGTCATGGAGCCATCAGGGGGGAAGGTTTCTGTCCAGTTAAAGTTGCAGTTAATGAGAGGAACTGGAACCAAGTCGGACCCACATGAGGGTCCAACCGGCGGTAACTCGTCCTGTTAAGGTCAGACCGAAGCTTCCTGCTGCGGCGAACGCTCAGTCTGAACACAGAGGCTTCATGGCTGCATGTTGAACCAAACTTCCCTGAAATGTTTCCTGGTGGATTCAGGTTCAGGGAAGCAGATTATCAGATTATCTGTTATCTGTTCGTCCTGGTTCAACGACTCGGTTCAACATCGCAGTTAAAGCAGCATTTAAAAAGATGTCACTCGATCAGGGCTGAACGCTGTAGCAGCAGTTTGTTCAACAGCGAGATTCACTGTGAGAAACAATCAGCTTGTAAAAATAACAGCCAGTTTGTTTATTCAGCAAACTTTCCTGTAGTTGTAACTTCTATAATGAATCTGACAATATCTGCCTAAATATTGTCAGATTTTTCTTTTTTTTTTTCTTTTTACAAAAACTTTAAAAAGCAAAATTATACAATAGAAAACTAAATTTGAACCTTTTTCAGACGCTCCTTTAAAATCAGGTCTGATTTTCCTTCTGGTCATTTCAGTTTTATTTCTCTGAGGCTGTTAAAGTCGGTATTAACAGCCGAGTCAGGGAGCAGGTGTGAAGTGATATTGATTCATAAAAACCAACGATGCTGCTGCTGTTTGCTGGTATCAACATGCATCTCTCTTTGATTGGGTAGCTTGTTAAAATTATCCTCCTGTGGATAATAATGCACAATTTATTCATCATTCATCATGTTCATCCTGTTGACACCAAGCTTTGATTTTAAACTCTTATCATTTCAATCAAACTGTGAATCAGATCCAGAATGTAAACACCAACAATGATCACGTCTAATTACCAGATATTTCTTTGCTAATTACTACCAAAGATGATTTGTTAGTAATTATTTGCTATAATATTTGCTCAGAGACTCCGCCCCTCAGAGACCAACTGTCACCTGTTTCTACTTCCTGCAGAGGAAACGAGGCCCTGCTTTGTCCCTTTAACTCTGTCACCTGAGTCGCCCGCTGTGTTTGCATGCAGTTCTGCCTGAGTTATGATCCATTATGTGTCGTGTAGGCCTCCACCCGCTGTCTGGGCTCTTGTTTGTCATGTAAATACTTCAGCTCAACGTTCATTCCAGCGAATTTGCATCTGGGCTGAATGCAGGTCAGTCGGCCACGATGGAGGCGTTCCCCCTCAGAGCAGAGCCGGACGAATTCTGGCTTCATGTTCACTCATAAATAGTTTTCATTTCAAAACGAGGAAATAAAAAGGCATAAAAATTAAACCCGCCTGCTGTTTTACACACGGCTTATGAAACTAAGTGTTTTTAAGATTTACTGTGAAAGGAATGAAGCAATACAGGAAGAAAAACAATGAATATGTTCAGATTCTCCAATTCAGACTATTATAGCAATGTTAGTGTGAGATGGCAGACTGATAGATACACTGATATAAATATAAAACTCAGTTTAAATGAGTAACACAGGTGAAGTTTAGACTGCTTTGTTTCTTATTTTCATTATAAAACGAACTTTCAGGGTGACAGGCTCAAAATAATACTCTGAAAGTTCATGGCAACATTGTTTTCCTTCTGCAATAAAATAAACATTTTTCTCATAGTTTTCTCATACAGTTTCAGTAAATAATCCTTTAGAGAAAGAAAAAAATGTAATAATTGTGTCTCAAGTTCAATTAACCTTTAAATACTGAAGATGTGACGTTCGCTTGAAATGCTGCTTTATAATAAAAGGTAAAAACAAACTGCATTCAGGTAAAACTCAGCCTTGCTAAGGAAACATTAGTTTATGAAGCTAAAAAACAGAATAAAACTGATGCAGCTGCAGAAAAACGTAGAACAGCAGCAGATAGAATCTGCTTTGTAGACGAGATCTATTTGCTCCGGCAGAGTTTCAGCATGTTGTCATCTGTCAGGATGAAATATGGTCACAATGTCTGAAGTCAGGAATTAATATCTGAGAAATGATTTGAGTTAAGATTTTAGGAGTTAGCAACCAGCAGGCTGCAATTAGCAACAGAACCAGATGATCTAGACTGTGACCACCAGGTGAGAGACAGACTCACAAACCTGAAGAAGTTAAAACCCCACAGTCAGTTGAAACATTCACCTGAAAGCTCATTTTTATTTCTAGAGGTAGGTGGAGTTTGCCCTGTGAAGCTTTTGGAGCGGTTTCGTTTTCTCTTCTCTCCTTCCTACTTCCTCTGGAAGGTTTCCTCCACCGTGCCTCAGCAGCAGCTCCAGCAGCAGCAGGTCCATTCATCCTGCGTCTGCTGGGGGGTTTCTCTGCTGCTGGTGCCTCACCAGTCGTGGGTGGATGCATGCAAAGTTTAGTCTGTATCTGTTAAACAGGCACCACGCACACAGAAGCTGCTGCTCCTGTCCTGAGGAAACCTTGAAGTGTTTCCAGTCAGATCTTCCTGGAACAATTTGCACCATAAAAACCAGAACAAAGCAGTTTGATCTCATAAGAGGACGACTCAGGAAACTGAAGGAATGCTCTCTGAAGGTCTGACTCCATTAAAGGAATGAAATATTTATACTGAGCAGAAAACCTGTGTCTCTGGGTGTGTAAGCTAATGGCCAATGTTAACAGCTAACAGCTCAGTCTGTTTCTGTTTTTCTCAGACGGTTTCAGGTGTCAGAACGTCGAGCTGTTTGAGATGTTCAAAATGTCCCACCTGCTTTTCCTGCAGAATGGGTTTCTTCTTATTCTTCTTGCTCTTCTCCTTGAGGCATCGATCGATTGACTCTCCCTGCCTTAACCTGTTGTTGTGGGAACAGTGTGCACTCACTGCTTTAATGAGATTTTCACTTTCAGTCCGGGTTGCATCAGAGAAAACATCCTAAATCCGATCAGAACAGAAACGAGTAAAATGTCCCTGTTAACAATAACAAGATAGAAACACGGTTTACTTGGAGAAAACTCACCAGTTTCAGCTTATATCAGTGTTTTTATGATAAATATGTCAAACATTTTTGATATTCTGCTACTGTAAGCGTCCACCTCCAGGGTTTAACTCCATCCAACTTCACCAGCTTCTCTTTCCCTGATGAAGAGAAGCAATAATTGAATTTCAGACTCAGGTTTCCACTGCAGACACGTCTCCCTCATGTTTCTGCCAGATTTTCTCTGTTTTTAGTGTCTGACCCGACTTGAGCAGCGTCTTCCACATGTCTGACGTTTCTATTCTTAGCACTCTGCCATTCTGACCAGATTATGGAGTGAACAGCTCATGCGTGTCCTTTCTGCTGCGTTTGGTCTTCATGCTGTTTTCTTGTGATGTTCTCCTAGAAACAAGCAAAGTCTTCTCAGAACAGCTGCTTCTGGTTGGGCTGTATCTGCTGCTGCAGCGTTTCAGAGCCGTTTTCTCCCAGACGCATGCAGATGTTTGCTTTTTTTATTTCTCTTAGTCACCACCGCAGCACCGAAGCTGCAGCCAAGACATATTTTGGCATCACAAGCTTCTATTTCAGCAGTTTGGTTCGTTTTGCTTTGAACTCTGAAATGTGACGCTGGTTTGGAGCAATCTGCTGCTGCAGAGGTTTGGGGAAAAAGAAAAGCAAAAGGTCACAAACATTTGAATGTTGGTCGCTTTGTGCAGGACCTCAGAGTTTTTAGCTTTATGTTTTCATATGCTGGGAAAGCATGGAGCAATCCTTCCTCCATCTTCACAGTAACACAAACATTTTTAAAAACTTTTGTAAATTTCCACACCATGATTTCCAGTTGTTCCTCAGCTGCATGTTGCCTGTCTTCACCGTTCCTCTCTTGTTGCGGCTCCTCAGACGTACATCGGCTCCATCCTGGCCGCGGTGAACCCGTACCAGCCGCTGCCGGCCTGTACGACCGGCCCGCCATCGAGCTCTACAGCCGCCACCACCTCGGTGAAATCTCTCCACACATCTTCGCTGTGGCCAACGACTGCTACCGCTCGCTGTGGAGGAGGCAGCAGAACCAGTGCGTCCTGATCAGGTGGGTCATCCGGGTCTTTTTCCACCGAATCGCCGATACTCAGAAAAACAAATGCATAAAAACTGAGGATCGCTCTGGATTGTTTAATTGGAACCTAAACAAAATTGTCACATAAAGACGGTTGCAAAGTCGGCCTTCTATCATCAGCAAACATTTCCAGGATTAGAGGACTAGAGAAACTCATCCATGTTTTTATCTTTATTCACATTGAGTACTGCAATAGAGACTTCACAGGTCTGCCTAAAAAATCCAGAATGCTGCTGCTGATGTTCTGACTAAAACCAGGAAGATGGAGCACACCACCCAGATCTTCACTGAGAGAATAGACCTTAAACTGCTGCTGGTAGTTTATAAATCGCTGAACGGATTAAAGATCTGCTGCTGTTGGATCAAAACTTACAGAAAACTGCAAAACACTGATGAAAATATTTGATATTCATAATTATTTCGATGACTGCCTGTTTTGTGGCATCTGACCTGCCTGTTGCTGAAACCTGCTACGCAAATAAACGTAACTTGATCTGAACGAGGATAAATCTGCTAAGTTTTAGTAAAATTGCCCTTCAGATTTTTTTTTTTTTTTTACAGAAATAAAACTTTTCTCCACCAAACCACCTGGCATCTCTAACAGCTGGACTGGCAGCTCGCTCTCAGTCCAGCTGTGTGGTCTCTTCTACGCCAACTTTCAGTAAAAATTGCAAACACCTGTAATTTTCCCAAACTACGTATGATTATATAAAAGTGTGCATAAAACCAGCCTGTGGTGTCGTAAGCCTGTCCCTCCACCAGACGTTTGTCCTTTTGGTGGGAGGAAGTCGGTGCGTCGGCTGCAGCCGCTGTGGGTGACTGCAGATGATTTATTTCAGCTTGTTTGGGCGAGTAAGTCGTGTTTTGTCGGTCTTTTTGGCTGGACCTGAAACGCTGGAGACGCTTGGTGAGCCTCAGCCTTTTAGCTGGAGGCGACAGTCCAGCAGTTTTCTGACAATTAGCCGCCGTTGAGTTGAAAGCCGGCCGTTTCATCGGATAATCAGACACATGTGGGCCTTTAAAATCAACCTAAACACGTTTTACAACCTATAAAGTTAACGGCTGCTTCAGTTTCTGCGTAGCAAATTAATAAAATACTCACACAAAAACAGACAAAATAACTTAAATTGAAAGTTTGTTGTTTATTTTTAGAAATAGCAGCTCTACAGAACAATTCAATAAATATGAATATTATCAAAAATTCTGTTTACTTTATAGATTAAACATAAATGGATGTTTGAGCGACTTTGTTTCTGTTAAATATGGTGATTTTCCACTTAATGAAAAGAGAACATTGAAAACTACAACAAACCAGCAATTAATTACGTTAATTACAGAAACGTAGTCTTAATGAAAAGTTTAATATGTCAAAAGGTTCAAAAAGTTATTTTAATCTGACAAACAAGACTCAACTGGATGTTTAATCTAACTTATTAAATATGATTCCAAAGCAATTTATGAAAAATAAAAATATTAGTATATATGTAAACAAGATAAATTTCTAAAAGAAAATTTAAATAATGAAATAAATAACTACTTCATTATCAAAACATTTAAACAAATGCATTTAAAAACTTAAAAACAGTTTTTTTCACACAAAATGGTAAAAGGATGTTTTCTAATATGTTTATTACAGAAATAACCATTTGTAGGAAATTATCAGCATCACATTTAACTGCTTAATGTTTTTAATAGTTTTGATTGTCACAAACATTGAGGTTTATCGTTGATGAACGCAGCGTCTCAGATCGAAGATGTAATCAAAACCATGAAGAACTTCATTAAACCCAGTGGAGGTGTTTTTGTTTAGGTCTTTGTAAATGAAGAACTCAGTGCGTGGATAAAATATGTATTTTAATGGATAGTTTGCACTCAGTTTGCTTTGACCTGATAAACCCAGTAGAGTTTCTGTCCTGCGTTGCTGTGAGTGAGACGCTCTGAAAGCCGCGTGCCGCCGCATGCTGTCTCTTCTCACCTCGGTCGGCTGCGGGTGTTTTTGCCTCTGTCCTTCTGTTAAGGGAGCAGAAAGGCCTTTTGTGTGGCAGGATGTCGGTCAGTGGGAGGAATATGCGCCGTGGCGCAGCAGAGCAGGCGTACAAACATGTCCCACTGCTGCACAAAGCTGCGTTTCTGTCTGCAGATCTGCTTTGTGTTCCTTCACGTCTTGCTGATTCCTCTGACTTTTATTGCTACAACAAAGCTTCTGCTTTTCAGGAAGGAAATCATTATTTCCTATGGATTTAACACGTTTTAGACTCATTTTAGGCCTGGAGTTTATAAAACTATTAGTGCACCACAGAATGTGACCTGAAGAGGAAGAAAAGAGTTTGGTTGTGTTTCTGTTCCATGACAGCAGAGCGGTGAGGTCGGCCTAGAAGGAGAAACCACAAACCACAGCCGTGACCTTTTACTGTAGTTTCAGCTAAAACACAACCTGGTGGTTTACTGTCTGCTGAAACAGAGTAAATGTCACACTGAGCTTTCTGATGCACGCACTGTAAATCTCTTCACCGACCCTTCAGTCCAGTTACTTCAGTGTGAAATGTTTTAAATGTTGAATATTTAAATGTTTTATACATGGATCTTTTAATAACTAATTTTCTATATTGACAACTTTTCTTTCGAAAAATATTTCTATGATGTCCTTTAACAAAAATAAATGTGAAGGAACTGAAGTGGGCCAAAGACGGAGCCCTGGAGAACTCCACAGACACCTGACAACTCAGTTTTTATATCAATTACCAATAATAACAAACAGCTGACACACTTTTCTGGGAAAGAGGTTGAAAATGTTTATATAATTTTGGAAAATCAGATAAATTGAACCATATGTGGAGTCAATAACTTAAACAAATCATCCTCAAATGCCTGCTGGTGGCATGGATGGATGGATGGATGGATGGATGGATGGATGATGGATGGATGGATGGATGGATGGAGGATGATGGATGGATGGATGATGGATGGATGGATGGATGGATGGATGGATGGATGGATGGAGGATGGATGGATGGATGGATGGATGTGGATGGATGGATGGATGGATGGATGTGGATGGATGGATGGATGGATGGATGGATGGATGGATGGATGGATGGTGGATGGATGGAGGATGGATGGATGGATGGATGGATGGATGGATGGATGGATGGATGGATGATGGATGGATGGATGGGAGGATGGATGGAGGATGGATGGAGGATGGATGGATGGAGGATGGATGGATTCTGTTTTGTTTTTCAGTTTCAGGTCTGTTGAATTTCATCCTGATGGGAGAAAACAGAGAAACTTTCTGTAGTTTCAGTTGGTCTGTAAATGATGGATGTGTGAAGCTGAGAATTTGCAGGGCGGAGCAGAAACCAGCCTTAGGGTTTCTGCCTGGCAAGGAGGTCCGACTTCTGACTGAATCTGTGGAGGATTTAACTAGGCTCCTCACAGCAGCTGGCAGTTAGAGAGCAGCATAAGGTTCATGGTTTAAACAGTGATTATAAAATAAAGACACAGAGAGAACACAGCCGTATCGATGCAGATGTGGAATGCAAAGTTGTAAAAAACAAGAAAACTTAAAGTTAAATTCAACACAGGTTTTGTAAAAACTAACTAGAAAAAAACAAAAGAACTCATTATGTAAACGAACAATTTTTGAATGGGAAAAGTAAATGCAAATATAGTTTCCAAAAAGTTGGTTCTGCTGGTTGGTTCTGCTGGTTGGTTCTGCTGGAGATCACTACTGTCCTGCTTTAGCAACATGTGAAGTGTTACTGTGCCGCTTGGATCGCGACCCGAACCCTCGTGGGTTTGCTGTTGCTTTTACTTTTAACAGTTTCTGTTAAAGTCATTTGAACAGAGTTCTGCACAGCTGCTCCAGAACCCGAACCGGTTCCGGTGATCACTAACTCTCTCAAAAACATGTCTGCTGACGGCGGGCCAGGAAAATCCGGAGCGGACCCCCCATAAACCGTGGAACATGCCGGGGCCCCCCTTACACAGAGGAAGAGGAGCCGTAAATCTGCAAGCTGGCACTTTGAGCCGAGGCAGGAAGCCTTCCCTTCGGATTTAGGGATTGTTGGTAATCAGATCCAGGCGACTGAAACAGGAGCTGGTGTAAAAGAAGAAGAGGAGGAGGATGTAGAAACCAGCTCTCACATGAGACCATCTGCTCATTAAAGCTGAATGCCAGTCTGCGTTTCCACTAATGCGGTACCTACCTGCAACCAACCACATTGCTTTAATGCACAAGTCCTGGGGAGATTTTATTGCACACTTAAGCAAAAAGCCGCTCTCAACACAAATTTCTTGGAATCCTTCAAAAAATCACTGAGCACAGCAGAGGCAATTTTTGGGGGCTAATGAGCAACAACAGCAGATTGAGACTCTAAGGTACAGTTTTACAGCAACAGGTCCTGTGTTAGCATCTCTCTGTTGGCTCAGCTGGAAGAAGCATTTTGAACTCAGCTTTACTTCCTGTTTGGCCTCCAGAATTTTAAAAACTTGAAAGTCTAAGTTTGGAGGTAAGGTGGCATTTTGACAGGCCTGGTTCTGGTAAGTCAGGTGGGACAATAATTTAGAAGCAACCTAAACAGACTGTGGCCACCCTTTCAATAAAATAGCTAACGTGTTTCCTCAGTAAATACTTTGGCACTGAAGAGTGGTGTGGTACCGCTTAGTTACTGTGTGCAGCTGATCAGAAAAGATTCTTTTTGAGTCGGTCAGTTCTGCTCACCAGCTGATTTCTTTTAACACTTTAAACACAGAGCAACACAGAAACTTTATCACTTCACTTGAAAAGTGACGTCCTGTTCTTTATTGCCCAGAATTTGTATTTCCTGCTGGGTTTGAGATCGTCAGAACCGAGTTCAGAACCGAGTTCAGAACCGAGTTCAGAACCGAGTTCAGAACCGTTCCGTCTGAAACGAATCGGCAGCAGGAATTTCCCTGAGTGAAGCTCAGTTTTGCTAAAGCTCTTTGCAAAA